TCCTGTGTAAGCCTAGATCCTGCCAAGTCAGCAATTAACACTAACCAAACAAGTTGAAAGTCAAAGCCTATGTGCCCATGTGACACTCATACCCTGGTGGTACTAGCCTGGAGTGGGGCCAAGGGCCCTAAGGTATACTATGTTGGAACAACACAGGGGGGAAAAAGTCCCTAAAATAGATGGGCTCATTGCTAGGGCTGATGAATAAAGATAGCAGAGACTGATAGGATGGATTATTGCAGTCAGGTTTCAAAACCACAGTGAAGGAGTTGTGTAGCAGTTTTCTCTGAATTGAAACCTTCCATCCTGAAGAATGTAAACAACTCACAAGTCTCAGAAAGTCCCTAAAACTTAGGATATCCACGAGGTTCTTCCACTTCCAAGTGGTCTTAGTTAGGCTACTATTGCTGTGATAAAACACCATTACCAAAAGCAACTTTGGAGAAAAGGGTTTATTTCGGCTCACACTTCTACATCACAGCCCACCAGTGAGCTAAGTCAGGGCAGAAACTCAAACAAGATAAGAACCTGGAGACATGACTTGATTCAAAGGCCAGAAAGGAGTGCTACTTACTGTCTTGCTCCTGAAGACTTGATCAGCCTGCTTTCTTACAGAACTCCAGGGAGAATGCCACAGAACCAAAGAGCAGATTAGGTTGTAGCCATAGGGAGAGCAGAGCACGGGGTGCAGTGTACCTGCCTACCTGCTGTTGGTCTATATCACAAGCACTTTCGTCGATTGGGATAATGCCATTTAGATCGGCCTTCCTGACATTCCCCAGATCTCTGGATACTTCCTTGTCTGAAGAGTCTTTGCATATGCAATCAGCTTGAGATTTGCATACCCCTGTACCCAAGTGTCCTTAAAGACAGTCACAGAAACAGAGGCTTGCCAAGAGATGGCAACGTGACAGTGAAAGCAAAGGTTGAGGACTTGAGGCCACAAACGGAGGACACTTGGGCCTCCCGAAGCAGAAGTAAATAAGGAGCAACCCTGTGTTCATTAAATTAGTACCGTGGCTAAATACCCAAAGAACAGTGAAGGGGGAATGTTATGTGGCTCAGCTTCAGAAGCTTCACTCCAATACGGCAGGAAAGTCTGGCACAGAAACCCAGGAGTGCTGACACATTGGGGCCAAGCCCCCCAGCACACATCTCACCAGTGGCCAGCTTCCCCCAACAAGCCCCATCGTCTGCCCTCCCCCCAGCCCTGCCAGTCCCCTCCCGTTCGATTCCATCAGATGGATTGAACCGCTCATCAGGTCTGAGCCCTCAAGATCTGCCTCATCTCCGAGACACCCGCACAGACAACCCCCGGATGCACTTTGCTAATCTGCACTCTCTCAATCCAATCAAATTGACAGTGGGATTCGCCGGCTCGCTCTCAGAGGCTTCAGAGGGATCACTGCATTGCCAACACCTGGCTTCGGGATTTCCAGGCAGATCTGCGAAGGAATCAGTCTCTGCCACCTTAAGCCTCCTCGTGCTAATGCGCACAGCAGCTAGGCAAGAGCTCTGGGAACCTCGGCTAGGTCCCTGGCTACACTGAAGGGCCAGTCTCCATGTCCACTCTGCAGACTCCTACTCCAAAGTTGCAGTCTTTCTTGCATGACATTTACAGCCCCAGTCGTCAGAGCCAGGCAAAGGAACTTGGAATCAGGCCGGGCCTCCTTCTGCCCCAGCAGCTCTCTGGAGAGGTCAAGATGACATCTGCCAGGACCAGCTTCCTAAGCACTCCTGTGGTCCAGCCAGACTCCTCACTCCATCCTGTCCCTGGCAGCTTCAATAGTGACTGAGATGGTTGAAAAAGATGAACAGTAGGCAGGAGCAAGCACGCTCACAGTGAGCTCTCAAACAGCAGATTTTTTTTCCGTTCTCCATCATTCTCATAAATATATTCCTTAAAGCTTATTTATTTCCAAGGATTTTCCACCCTATAAAGTTATTTCAACATTGTGGGCACAATTTCAATGCACATAAAACCTTCAAACAGAAGGGGCAAAAGGCAGATGTGCTTTGTCTTAGAGAATCTGTTTGTGTCTCTATCCCTTGCTCTACCTCAGAGTCCTTAAGGATGAGCCCAGGCTTCCTGCAAGATCTCAGCATCTGGAAGTGAGACTAGTTCTTCCAAGAGCAGTGCTGAGCTTCCAGGAGTTGGGGAGAGTCCCCGGACTGCAGCAAATTCAGACATTCACCATAGTCTCTGGCAGGAGGAGGGCAACTCTGTGATTCTCGGATGTTGGTGGGCCTCTGGGCATCCAAGTCTTTGTACCACTGTCACTGGCATGCCCAGAAAGGTCACTCTGAATCCTTCTGAGGTTCTTTCCTATACCCTGCACACTACTCAGGTGCCTGACACTCCCTGAGCAAAGGACACAGCCTACCTTCTCCAGGAAGTTCCCAGTTCTGGTTCCCTCACTGGGCTGAAGATAACAGCTTCCCCTAAGAATTTATTCTCAACAGAGAACTGACTCCCATAGAGTCTCGGGGTACCTGAGAGGAGAAAGGGCTGTCTTTAACTGCTTTCCACTAAAGCTCTCACCTCACACTCTCAAGGACCCATCCTCCCACCTCAGAGTACACACGAGGTTCCTTCCCCACAGCCCAGCCGATGGTCTGTGCACTATGGCAACCTAATTCCCCAGTGTCTCGCTAGCATTGTGCCCAACGCATGGGAAATAAACAATAAATATTGGTTATTTGTAAAGCACAATACCGAGCTTCCTTTCACTGGAAATAAAAGGAACACCTCCTCTCCATGGAGCAATAAGATGGAATATAACTCAAATCTACGCCTGTGACATTTTTAGGAGGGAGAAACCTCATGGTAATGTTCCTCCTGCAGAAACCCCTTCTAAGTGTCTGCTTGAGCTTTTGTGAGCATCAGTCATGGATGCTAAATTGTGCTCTCTGGTAAAACCTGGATATAGATGCTGGGAAACTAAGGACCGTCTCTCCCCTTTAAGGAGGATGTGCAGCCCTGATGTGTCCCTGAATTTACAGGCTGTCTAAAGATACCCATCAGGGAACATGTTCAAGATCCCCACCTGCCCAGAGAGACCAATCTTGGGTACTTATCACAGTACCGCTCCGCAGGGAGGACCAGAACTTCATTCCTGTGTGTTAGTCCTTCCAGACTTTTATACTCATTCTGCAAGGAGGTCGAGGTAGATCGGTCCATGGACCTAACAGGAGGAAGTGTACACACAGGCTCTGATCTCAGTGTTTCTTCTTAATGTCTTATATTAGAAACTGATGCAAAGCTTCCAGGGTCATCTATGAGACCCATACTTTCTTCCTGTGAGTCATCTCAGTGTTTGGACCAGCACCCAGTTCTGGGCCATCCTTATACTCTGCCATGAGCATGCAGAATGTCGTCTGATCCTGATTATAAAATCACCAAGTGGAGAGGAGCCACTTGACTGAGGAGGCCAGAGAACAGTTGAAGGCTTCTTATAGCCACTGCCCACACAGGTTTAGGTAAGAGCATCTTCCCATAGCAAAGTGGCCCCTGGCTGGCTGGATAGCCTGACACCACCACTTCTGAATGCTCTGGCCTGCCTTGATATTAACATTCTAGGTAAGGTCAAGAGAAGAGGACCCCTGATCCTTCTTCCTAGTCCTTCTGGATGGATGGGGCATAAACCTGTGTTCTTCTGCTCTGTCCCAAAGTCTACAGTCAAAGCCAAAGGAGCATCAGCTATGGGTTTGCTCTCTGGTGCACAGGGGAGTCACTGGGCTATGAAGATGATTCTCTCCACACAGAGATATGTCACAGAGCTGCAGACAAGTGAAACAGTCTCTTCCAGAACATCACCTTCTGACATTCAGTAAATACCAGTGCCAACTCTTTGCCACTTTCAGCCAGTGTTTAAGAAGATACTGGCCAATGTCAATGTCAGATCTGCGGTCCAAAGGACTTGGGTCTGAAGTATGGTGAGCATCTCCTGGGTTCCAGAACCTAGTCTCTCTCTGAACCTTAGCGGAGATAAGTACCTTGCAGGTCACCATTGAGTTTAACCAAATGTGGCTTTACAAATAGCATTCCATCAATGACTATGCTTCCTCTGGGCAGAGAGATCCAGGGATGCTGGCCCAGTCAGGAGGTCTATCCTACAGCTCGTAGTCCTCCTGTCTCAGAGCACAGATGCTCTTCAGTCCCTGCAAGAGAAACATGCTTCTCCTTCTCCCCTCACGTGGGCCCAGCCGGGCGGTGTCTTCCGATGCGGAAGAAACTGGACATGCCCTGACTCTAGAGAGGGTGCAGGCTCCAAGGCAGCACCGTGTACAGAGCTAGGAAATTACAGAAGCCAGACCTGTAAGAATGAGATTTGTGTGGCCTGGGAATCACTGTGTCAGTCCTATAGCACGACTCTAGAGACGCACCCAGGGACTGGATGGATCCACCCTGAGGGCTGCCTATCTCTTAGGGCATCACAGGGTTTAGACTAGCACCCAGTTTCTAGGCCGTCTTTGCAATACATCACGAGCTCACAGAACACCATCTGCTCCTGATAAAAATCACTACCTGGAGAGAAGTCGCAAGACTGATGGAGCCAGAGAGAAGCTGAGGACTGGCTGGGGTCAAGTCACTGCCTGCTCAGTGAAGAATACACTTCCTGCAGAGAAGTGGTCCCTGGGTGGTGGCAAGAGAGTGTGACAAAAAACTTTCCTTAAATCAATGCTGACCGATCCCAAACTGCCTCCAAGGTCAACCTCTCAGTCTTCAGTGACCGGTGTCTGTCCATGCCCTTGACCTCTGGCCACAGGTCTGAATGAATGACCAGGGCTCGCTATAATCAGTGGATCCTACTTCTGCATCCTCTCCACACATGCCTGATCATTCATGCCCACAGACGCCGGCTGAAGAACACCAGGCCTTCTTCCTCTTTATCCAGCTGAAGAGCCTTGCTACCCTAAGCCCTCTCCAGTGCTCACAGCCAGTGAGATGAGAGCATGCAACGTGAGAATGTCTAGAATCCACGGAGCCCACAGCTTACCTTCCGCACCTCACCGTGGATCCTACTCATTCCCAACCAAAGCTTAGCCAGTTCCCAGCCCAGAGTAGAACAAAGTAGCAGAGGCAACTAGAGGACGGTGGAACTGGGGTTAGTAAACAGAGGACGGTGGAACTGGGGTTAGTAAACAGAGGACGGTGGAACTGGGGATCAGTAAACAGAGGACGGTGGAACTGGGGTTAGTAAACAGAGGACGGTGGAACTGGGGATCAGTAAATAGAGGACAGTGGAACTGGGGATCAGTAAACAGAGGACGGTGGAACTGGGGTTAGTAAACAGAGAATGGTGGAACTGGGGTCAGTAAACAGAGGGCGGTGGAACTGGGGTCAGTAAACAGAGGACGGTGGAACTGGGGTCAGTAAACAGAGGATGGTGGAACTCGGGGTCAGTAAACAGAGAATGGTAGAACTGGGGGTCAGTAAACAGAGGACGGTGGAATTGGGGGTCAGTAAACATGGGCTTGAACCTGCTACTCAAGAGCACTGGGTCCTCCCCTTGACCCGTGAGCTGTAGCACTCCATTCACCAGAAAAGCACCCTCAGGCCTCACCTCTCCCTTCCTCTCTGGTGTGTTCTGCTCAGTGGCACAGGCTAGGTAAGTAGGAAGCAGGAGGCGTCATCTCGATTATGTCCGCAGACCCTCGAGTAGAAGGAAATCCTCCACATCCTTCAGAGCTGGAGGGTAGGACCCTTGGTTCCAGTCCCTAGAAAAGAGCTGGGTAAAGGCATCATTCCTTAGGTGCTCGCTGTCGGTGTCCATCTCGCAGTTAGTGCCTCCAAGTTCCAGCTACTCTGACTGCCTGTAAGCCAGCCTTGGCCGGTTACCCGCTCTCCTGGCCTCACCAGCCCTAATCACTGAACCTGTGCTCAGGAGTACAACTGGACCACGTCGGTCATGGTCCCCTGACAGTCGCATAATCTGGGGTAGCTCTCTAGTCTGATTCCTTTTCTGCTCACCGGAATCCCAGAAATTCCAGAGGGCGCCTCTGGGTGTTTAAGTCAAGTGAACGTGACAAACGAGGCCTGGGGGAAGAAGGACGTGTTTGGGGGAAGAATGAAAGAATGGTACAGAGCAAAGAGGAAAAGAGGATGAAGCCCTGAATCCAGGGAAGAGAGATCGAGACTTTGGGTGCAGTCACCTTGACCTCCACACTGGTGTTCTCACTCCACAGACAAGAAGATGGCGGGCTTCACCTCCCATCTTAGACTCCAAACAGCTCTGGAGTCCCCACCCCCAACGCACACATGATGTCTGCCTTTGTCGCTGAGCTGGTTCCAATGTTTGCCTGCATTACATGGTCTAAGGCAATTACAAATTTCCTCCATGCATATCATAGGTAGAAGACTCATATCAAACCTAGACTCCCACATTATTTGACTTAATTTTATTATGGGGATTTTTTTTTCAAATCAAAACTAAAACCTGTTAGTACATTGCATGGGGCTACGTGAGCGACAGCCAAAGAGGAGGGTGACGGGCTCTGGGGCATTGGGCAGTTCAGGATGCAATTTGTGCCAAGCCCAAATCAGGCTCCTGACCATTGCATTCTGCCATGTCATGGAGCGGGAGTCTAAGACAGGGCTTTGCCAGGCCATCCTTAGCTCAGTTCTGCCTTCCTCCTACTTCCCCACCTTGATTTGGTCCAGGCTGTTACCTCCTCTCCCTTAATCCCTGCAACCAGGTGTGCTCTCCAAGCTGCAAAACCAGCCATGCCATTTTCCCCTTCTTCATCCTGTGGACTCCCCAAAACCAACCCTCAGTCCACATCTGTACTCTCTGAGACTATTAATTACAGTCTGACCCCTACCTGTTCACACCCTACCCAGCAACCCCAACTCCAGCTTCACAATCAAGCCATGGTTTCCTTCCAAGTTCTCTCTCGCTTGGATACTAGAGGTGGGAGCAATGAACAATTCACCAGATAAAGTCAACAGCTACAGAGTCTGCTAATCTATGACAGGAGACTCACACAGGACTTGACCACTATAAGGAATGTGGCTTTTGTTCAGAGAGGAGTTAGGACCATCTGAGGATTCTGAGCAATGGAATAAGAAAGCCCACTAGGCCGTCTAAGTAGATAGCTCTGGTCTGTGAAAGCAGGCTGTCCAGGGAAGAGTTGTGGCCACACGTTCCTTGGGCTGTTAGCGTAACCCAAAGGAGAGGGGACAGTCATGGAAGAAGTGAGAAAGGGACAGGGCTGTGGTTGGGCTTTGGTGACAGACCCACCAGTGCTGGGTCCAACATTGGAGACCAAGAAGATGATGTATTTATTTGTTCCCTTCTTCTGAGTCATCAAACAGAGTTCCACTATATCAACCAGACATACTATAGAGTTATTTGCAAAGAAGGATCCACAATTGATAAAATTTGTCTACCAGATCAGCCTGTAGGGAAACCTGTGGGAGTATTGTTTCTTAGTTAGTAATTGATGGGGGGATAGCCTATTGTGCATGGTGTCACCCCTGGACTGGTGGTCCTGAGGTCTGTAATAAAGCAGATTTAATAAGCCACGCAGAACAACCCAGTAAGCAGCATTTCCTCCATAACTTCCGCTTCATCTCCCGACTCCAGGTTCTTGCTTTGAGTTCCTGCGCTGACTTCCCTAGATGACGCATTGTGGTTTGGAAACATAACCCAAATAAATTTCCCGATTTTCTATAAAATTGCTTTTGGACATGGTGTTTCACCACAACAGAAGAAGCCCTAACTAAGACACACTATGTAGACCAGGCTATCTTGTCTACATAACCCAGGATGACCTCAAACTTAAGATTCTCCTGTATCCACTCCTGTATTCTGAGATTGCAGTTGTATACCACCCACCCTGTTAATGCCATGGTCTTTTACCTGAGGACAAAGGAACTATCAGCTGAGGTGGGGAAGGTTGGAAGAGGAGATTAGTAAGAAAGATAAGACATTGGGCACTGAATGTCAAGTCGGCCATATCTGCCAGACATCCGGGTAGAAGTGTCATTTGGACGGGTGGAGCAGGCAGAGTCCAGACATGTTTGTGAGCTAGAGATATCAGAAAGAGGCCTTTAAAACAAAGGGAAGAAAAACAAGCAAACAAAACCCCCCAAAGTGGAGCCTTGTAGTCCACCAAAGTGGCAAGGTCAGGATTTAAAGCCAGATGAATTGGTGCGCATCTTTAATCCCAGCACTAAGGAGGCAGAAGCAGGCAGATACCTGTGAGGTTGAGACCACCTGCTTCATACAGTGAGTACCAGGCCAGGCTAACTAGTGAGACTCTGACTCTCAGACAATAAATAGATAAATAAATAAATGGAATAACTAGAAACTGGGAGAAAATAAGTGAGCTGGGGTGGGGGGGGATGTTGAGATGAGATGATTCAGAGTGCTCTGAGCCAGAAGGACAGGACAACAGAAAGACTGGGTGGCATCAGTGGAGTCCTAGCCTAGTCGATGACTACGGATTGAAGTTCCTAAAAAGGAACTGGAAAACCCGGGTGGAGGTCATCCTAAATGAGCTGTGTGTTTATGGAGGCTCTACTTCACAGTAAGAAGATGGCAGAAGATCACCGTTGCCTGCATCTGCGTGGGCTGCTACCAGCAAGGCGCCATAGCTGTTTGTTAACGCAGAAACACATGCCATCTAGCTGGGGATGCTGGGATCCGGGATTAATAAACCCACAGAATCTCCTCTCTGCCACCAAGATGGCGTCTGTGGCTGCACCCTCTTCTGGTGGAAACCAGAAATGCGAGAGGTCACCAGTTGCCCCAGATTTTTGTAGGGGACCTTTCATGGGGAGTGGGGGGGTGCTTTTGTCATCAGGGGCCTTAGTCAATGAATGCTGAGCCTGCGGGGCCCAGTCATCTGTGAACTGTGGAAGGGCACATGTGTTCAAGGAACAGGGCACTGAGAGGCTCTGGGGCGGGGAGCCAGAGTGGAGATGGGGGGATGTATCCAGCTGAACAGAAGCAGGCACCTACCTGCAGGGTTGGGCAGAATGTTAGGAAGCCTAATTTAATTTCTATAGAGGCAGTGTGCTTACTTCTCCTACATTACCCGCTCGGTAAACTTGAGACCATTGTGGGAAGGAGAGGTTTTGGCCAATATCCCAACCCAGTGGTGATTTCACCCGGTGGGACAGGGCAGTGTGGACATCCTATGGACTACAAAGCACTTTCCCAGAACCCCTGCACGCCTGTGAAAGATTCTTCACCGGGAACCCCGCACTCCTCACTTGGCCAAGACCACTCCTAAAATCCCCATGAGCTCTGCCTGAGAGCGCTCCGGGCCCATGCCCCTCCCTTACACCATCCTTCGAGAATGTCCATACATATTCGGCTCTCCCTCCCACCTTTGATTCTTCTTCGGACTGCTGGTACTTAGTACCGTCGTCTGGACTGGGTCAGAAACAGGTTGGGAGGATAATTGTATGATGTTATGGCTTACAAGGATCTCAGTTACTGAGTAGCCCTGCACTCCCCCCTCCCATTCCTTTGCAGAGAAGAATAGAATGCCAGGCAGGAGAGGAACTACGGGGCATTAACAGCCTGCTTGGAACTCAACATCCAGCTCACCCTCCTTTGCTTTCAGGACACCCTGTCCAGGTCCAGCTGTGGGAGACCTGAAGGAGACACCCATGTCAGCACTCCCGGGAAAGATGGGGGCAGCATTCTAAACTCCAGCGTTGCTCTTGGCCAAGGGCTTTGGGGTCATGCTAGTCCTTCTCTTTCTTGATCAAATAGGATGGACACTTCCTGCCATGAAAGTGGAAAAAGACAGGCAGGATGGATTTCTTCATATCTTGCAAACACAAACTTTTTTTCAAAAAGCATTTTCCGCATCTGTTTTGCCTATTTCTCTGGTCTTCTCCTCGGCAGAGAGCCAGGGCTTCCTTGTTCATTTTTAACTTACCAGAGCGTCTCTTCCTCCCCCTCCTCACACTGCTGCTGGGGAGACCATTATCTTCTGAGCAATCAATGGTTGGCAAAGGCCCAGACAGAGGGTGGCTGGGTCTGCAGGCTGTTCCTCGGCAGAGAACCCAGGATGCTATTCTAAATAAATGTGCGGGCTTACAAAAAGGACAAATACCAAGTAAATCTTGCCCATAATGTCCCATCAAGTAATATTCGT